ATTGATATATTTCACGAGGGCTTTTGTTTTTTATATGGTAAAAAAAAATCCCGCCCAGCTATGTTTTAAGCTTTACCTTGGCCATGCGGTTTCTTTGTGTTGTATCAATAAATTCTTTATGGTAGTTGTATAGGACTTTATTGATATCCTGCCAGGTGATAGTTGTTTTGACTTACTGTATAGTTGATACATAACAACCCTGTGTCAGAAACTGTTTATTATCCTGGCATCTATATCTTTCAATCTTCTTACACTGACAGTATTGATGGAGAATTAGTAATTTCTTCGATACTCGAAAAATATTCAAAAAGCTTTGTCATTTTCAAATAGTATGAGATTCAGTAGACATGTAAAAAGGGAAACAACTCTCGTTTAAGAAAACTTTAAACATCCAAATGATGCGTTTTTTGAGGGGGATGGGATCATTAAAGCTTAAAGCAAAAAATATGTCCTTCCATTTTACACCTCAAATAATATTTCTACACTATTTAGAGATTTTAATTAGCTCTATCAAATTTAGGTGTGTCAATTTTTAGATTTCCGTCCGTCACTTTTATAACTATAGCTATAGTCGTACTCCGGCCAGTACCAACAGCCTGCCACCTTTCTATATACACCTTTTTCACTTTTTATCCGTACTGGTAATGGTCGGTCGATAGCGGTTACTGGCGTGGGGTTAGCTGTAATAAGTCTACGGAATATAGAACTGCTCCCAATTTAGAATTACCCAAACTATAACTTAACATCTATTTAAAAATATATTAAAAACAAAATCAACAATTCGTCATCAAATGTCTCCTTTAAAATCAATAAATTAGGAAATCTGTCTCACCAGCAAAACCAGTACAGAAACTCTACATTTGAAGTAATTTATATGTACAAAAAAGGATTCTTTAATTTGAACACAACTGAAGCAAGGCGTATCTCATCAGAAGTGACGACAGTAGAAGTCTGTACCAGACAGGACCTACTACAGTAGAGTTATCAGACAGGACTTACTACAGTAGAGTTATCGGACAGGACTTACTACAGTAGAGGTATCAGACAGGACCTACTACAGACGAGTTATCAGACAGGACCTACAATAGGAGCGTTATCAGACAGGACATACTAAAGTAGAGTTATCAGACAGGACCTACAATAGGAGAGGTATCAGACAGGACATACTACAGGAGAAGTAACCAATCAGACAGGCCCTACCACAGTAGAAGCCTCTAATCAGACAGGACCTACCACAGTAGAAGTCTCTAATCAGACAGGACCTACCACAGTAGAGTCAACAATTAGACAGGACCACTTACTACAGTAGAGTTATCAGACGGGACTTACTACAGTAGAGTTATAAGACAGGACCTACTACAGTCGAGTTATCAGACAGGACCTACTACGGTAGAGTTATCAGACAGGACTTGCTACAGTAGAGTTATCAGACAGAACTTACTACAGTAGAGTTATCAGCCAGGACTTACTACAGTAGAGTTATCAGACAGGACCTACTACAGTCGAGTTATCAGACAGGACCTACTAAAGTAGAGTTATCAGACAGGACTTACTACAGTAGAGTTATCAGACAGGACCTACAATAGGAGAGTTATCAGACAGGACATACTACAGTAGAAGTAACCAATCAGACAGGACCTACCACAGTAGAAGTCTCTAATCAGACAGGACCTACCTCAGTAGAAGTAACCAATCAGACAGGACCTACCGCAGTAGAAGTCACCAATCAGATATGACCTACAACAGTAGAAGTCACCAATCAGACAGACCTACCACAGTAGAAGTCTCTAATCAGACAGGACCTACCACAGTAGAAGTCTCTAATCAGACAGGACCTACCGCAGTAGAAGTCACCAATCAGATATGACCTACAACAGTAGAAGTCACCAATCAGACAGACCTACCACAGTAGAAGTAACCAATCAGACAGGACCTACCACAGTAGAAGTAACCAATCAGACAGGATCTACCACAGTAGAAGTCTCCAATCAGACAGGACCTACCACAGTAGAAGTCACCAATCAGACAGGACCTACCACAGTAGAAGTCTCTAATCAGATCTGACCTACCACAGTAGAAGTCACCAATCAGACGGGACCTACCACACTAGAAGTAACCAATCAGACAGGACCTACCACAGTAGAAGCCTCTAATCAGACAGGACCTACCACAGTAGAAGTCTCTAATCAGACAGGACCTACCACAGTAGAAGTCTCTAATCCGATCTGACCTACCACAGTAGAAGTCACCAATCAGACAGGACCTACCACAGTAGAAGTCTCTAATCAGACCGGACCTACCACAGTAGAGGTCTCTAATCAAACAGGACCTACCACAGTAGAAGCCACCAATTAGACAGGACCTATCACAATAGAAGTCACCAATTAGACAGGACCTACCACAATAGAAGTCACCAATTAGACAGGACCTTTCACAGTAGAAGTCACCAATCAGACAGGACCTACCACAATAGAAGTCAACAATTAGACAGGACCTTCCACAGCAGAAGTCACCAATCAGACAGGACCTACCACAGTAGAGTCAACAATTAGACAGGACCTACCACATTAGAAGTCACCAATTAGACAGGACCTACCACAGTAGAGTCAACAATTAGACAGGACCTACCACATTAGAAGTCAACAATTAGACAGGACCTACCACAGTAGAAGTCTCCAATCAGATATGACCTACCACACCGAGTATGTTTAGGCCAATCAAGCGTTCAGCGAACTTTGATTTCACACCAGAGGAAAATTGCAATGAGTTTGAAACAAATCTCAAACAAATAAAATCAATCTTAGCATTTGTACACTTTAATAATATCTTCATTATATTAAAATTTGCACTTAATGCCAATTTATTGAAAAGCAATTAAGTGTGTTTTCATCATATTCATTTTAATTTTGTTAACATAATAATAGGTATGAAAATTCTCAATTGTTTTCTTGTCATTGGCGGTTTTTGTTTTCCCGTGTGAAAGCTAACCGTTCAACATCAATGCATTGTATACTAAGAGTTGCTTCCCTTGTCTCATGTGATTTTGCTTGTGCGTCGTTGAATACATATTGGAAGTGTAACCCTTTTTAAGGCCGAGATTCAGTGCAATTTTTGTATGTTGGTGTTATCTGGGACAATTAATTTTGTCCGGGCAAGGCTACAGAGCTAGCTCCCTAAGGTCTTGTGGGGAGCACACGTTTGTCTGTGTCTATAAGTGTACAGTGAAGGGGTCGTGACCAGTCATGAATGGTGTGAGCCTATACCCGTGAACAAATTGTTTCATTATGAAATAGTCACGTTTAAACTTTATTTGAGCATTAAATGGGCACAAACGTATAAAAAAATAATATAACAATATCATAAAAAATATTGTTTGAAAGGTGCATATATATAATAATTATCTGGGGCAAAGAATTAATTCCAACAGTGTGGACAAGTTTAGGTTGTCAAATTTTCGGAGCGATCCGCTCCTTTCTCAAGACACAGTGAAACTAATTATCGGTATACATTATAGAACACCTTACATAGTGTATGCATTGAAAATGTATCTATATATATGTGTGTCTCTTTTAGAAAGTATGATTGAAATGTATACAACAGAAAGTTTTCATGCAGCATAATATAGAATTTAAGAATAATTTCTAATTTATTTGTGATACAATATTTATATTACGAACACTTTAACCTCTATTATATTATCCATGAAGTGTTGGGTTACTGTTTTTCAGACTGAAAATATTGACGAAAACTCTCTCGTTTGATGTAAATTATCTTGTTTCAAAAAGAACTTTTTGTTTGTCCTGAGTATTTTAGTCTGTTTATTGTCTATGATTAACTAAAAAAACTTGCCAATATCGAAAAGATCAAATTCAGTTACACATCGATAACATCCATATCCGACTCAATATATTCAATCTTCCGGGCTCATTCAGAAGTTTCCATTAACGACAGGATCTGGCCTGGTGTTAAATACATGCAATTGGAGGTAAATGTTTAAAGACCTTACAGAAACCATGTTTTCGTTTAGCTTCATGTCAAAACTATGTTCGACCGAAGAGTCAGTATCATCACGGACTAAGAATCTAATTCCGTGGTATCATCACATTTTTACATTTCAGTGTGGTGTCAGTCTCAAATGTCTTACTGTGGCTTAATTATGTCTCGATCGGCTGTTTGCGTATCACACCGAAAACTATAAATAAGTATTGGAAACTGGTTTAATTTATTTCTGAAAAGAAAACCATACCTCGCAGGACTTTTATAAGAAATAAAAACGATGAAATAAACAAAATATAAAGTAAAAAACAGACTTTAAGTGGAAGTTACTGTTTATAGTAAAACCACAGAGGGGCTAGGGATCCCTGTTCTACTGCACTGCCGTCTTTTTGTGTTTCCTCGGTTCCTATTTCTGTCTGGCTGTATTCAAGGTGTTTTACTCCGAGGTGTATTTTGTCTTTCTGTGTTGAAGCCGAGACAGATTGTGTCTTTTTGCGGTTACTCTGTTTGTTTTAACATATTTTAATATGGGTCAAGGTCATTTAATTGAACAAACTGTATGGGCCTTCACCCCAACAGGCTGTATACCAATCTCATTAAAATCAGATGTTAATAAAAATACCTACGGTTATTCATGCGGTACGTGATAATGAACAGCTGTATTTATTCAGATTGGCTGTATACTAAATATCATCGATATGAACATCGTTGTTCTTGAAAAGATAGTGTTTGAAAAGATTTCAACAATTTAATTATATATGGCCCCTGTTACATTAAAAGTGGGTCAAGGTAATTATTTTGAACAAATATTTGCCCTCATCCTCAGAAAGATACAGGCCAAGTATTACGCTTGACCTTAATATAAGACGTCGTTAAACAAAGTTGACTCTGGACGCCACTTCAGGTACATTGTAAGCTAATAAACACCAAAACAACTCGTTTAAATATTTGTTTGTATTGATTTTTAATACATAATTGGTATCATATATATATGCGAAAGTCCATAATGAAATATGAATTTCATAGCTATTACTGCAAAATACAGGTAAACATGCGTATAAATTATTGTTATATATTCAATATCGCCAGACTATGATTTGCTCTCACGGATGTAAGAAGTTCTCTCCATTATTGTTTGAAGACAATAGCGGTCACCGTGGTATACAGTACTCCTGGAGAATCATATTGACATATATAATACAATGCAGTTTCATTTGGCACGATCCAGATCCTTCAGACGAGATTCACATACACTTCCAATAATATCACGAAAAAAAACATCCTTCGAAAAACAATTCTCTCAACTAAGACATGAAATGGACTGTCACTTGAACGTTACAAAAATCCACAGCATCATTGTGTAGTTTAAAGATATCTTCATCGCAAATAAACAAAGTACCTAAAAAAGCATACAAGTATACAAGGAGACTATGTGGCCTGTTTGGATCATACGTAAAATCAGTCAGTTCGGCTGTACGCTAAATATAAAATATAAAATGCAACAATATATTTAAAAAAGCAAATGTTTTGAAGAAAACTTACTTTCCAAGCACTCAAATGTTCACAAAATCTTAATAGTGCCAAACAAGTAACGAAAACACTGAAAAAACGACTTTTGTCTGTAGTATACCTCTATTGCACTTTCTAACATATTGCACAATGTATTGTCATCTTCTGTCGCGCCTCAAACAAACATTCTTTATCATCAAATGTCTGTACAACTAATAAATACTATTTACACGGATAAGCCACTCTTATACATAACACAGACTTGGACAAGTGGAGAAGCAATAGCGAAAAAGCACTGCCGCTTCTACTTCTGTGTTAGAATGGAGTCTCGAGGATGAAAATATAGTGACCTCTTTAGAGAGGGGATTGTTTAATAGCGGTGGTCTCACATGCAGATTCGACTGTACTTCAGGTCATAATACACACAATATTAAGATCCAATTCCTATATTGGACCATACTGTCGTTATTACTATTACAATACCTATAAAGCAATCCGTTAAAATATACTGAAAACAGAGATGGGACAGATTTCTTCACGGTCGTATATATAGGGAGACCACTTTTGTTGCATCTCTAAAGCGCATGTATCTCGAGCAAGAAGGAAGACCGAACGTCCACAACAGAAACGTGTTTACAAAAAAACCCTTGCACATCTAAATAATTAAACGATAATTTTGATATGCTTTTGGCCCCGAATGAACGTTGATTTTTACCTTCTTTCTTTGTATGTACCAGTATAAAACAAATCAAAAGGATTTTTAATGGGTTTTTTTGGCGTAATGTGTGTAAATATTCACGCTTAATAATCATGTAATATGCTACAATGCTTACAAAATAAATCAAGAAGAAAAATATTGCTATTTATTTATATCAAGCAATACATAGTTTCAAGCATAATAATGAGATATTGTTTAAGTTATGATTAAACATGGATTAATGCTGATATACAAACTAAAACGTTTGGCACGTCATCGTAAAAAAACACGACACTTTAGTAACAAGTGTTCGTTCTAAGACCATTTTGACCAGCAAGACGGTTTTACGTGTAGTTATGTTTGGCACAATATCCACCTATTTGAGAATATATCCTACTTGACTAGGAAACTTTTGTCAGTTTGTTCACAAAAATGCTATCCCAATCTTTAAAAAGCAGGTTGGTATGTTACTACTGAGGAAAGGAAAGTTAACGTAAAATTGTCACGATTGTCATAGAGTTTGGTAGATATATAACCATTATTTTTATATCTTCGGCCAATTAAAAAAACTCAGGCAGAAAGAGATAAGGCTGAGGTACCTTGTGAGAATATTTCATTTCTAAATGATTCATATATTTTTTAAACTTCACTTTGATAAGATATAAGAAATATTGCCTTTATTCTTAAAATGTCATTAAGTAATTATTGAACTAAGTCCTATGGCAATACTGGATTAACATTTTTAATATATAATACATGTTAATCATATGCGTTTTTTTGCTGACAAACATTTCAATATTTAATTTATTTTAAGCTTTTAAATCATAACAATTCATTTACCGATAATCTAGCGATAACACAGTTTCTGAAGTCACCACAGTGCAGAAGGGCACCTTACCAGATAACCTGCTGTTGTTGTAAAATACGTATTAACTGAATGAAGTCTAACTATGACAAATGACACCTGTTATATGATATAAGAAATTCAGCCTTAAACAGTAATGTTCAGATTTGATTTGTATTACGTCCAGGTATATTTTTCGTGTTAATACCACTGTGAATGTAAATCAGTTTGTAGCACAACTTTCAATGTTTTCTGTAAATTAACATTGTTAACAGCATCATGGTTGACTGCAATATACTTACATCAAAGATAAACAAGATATGTTCTTATTACAAAGAAAACATATTTTATCCTTTTGTTTTCAATTAAGCCCTGTAGGATTTCATATAGAAGGTGAATCAAGTGGAGTTATAGGTGGCTAATAGATGAGGATTATCTGAGTTTTCATGATTTGACTTGGATTTCAAGGAACAGTTTAGCACTTTGAAAGTCAGCGGATGCATTGTCTCTAAGATCGGGCTCGGAGTGGTACGACTTCCTCATTACCGTTTCCATATACACCATATCGGCGGAGGCACATCTTCTCAGAGAATTTGTCAACCTCCTTAAACGATCTGGGTTTGTTTCAAACATAGCAACTAGTTCATGAAAGCTATGTGGTCGTTCTTGTTCATCTTGCGAATTTGTAGAGCTCGTGCGCCTTTTCTTTTTACGAAGCACGACCTCTGACCTCAGACTATCACCATCATTGGATGATCCTTTCCGGCTTCCGGATTTTCCATCCAAGATGGAGCGATCCGGACTTGTTGATTTTTGTTTTCGTTTTGGATGCAGTGGAGGTTTTGAACCCTGCGATATTTGGGACCCGTCGTCAGACGTAGCTGAAGTCCATGCAAATTCATCCCCCTTTTCCTCCATACTTGTTTCTCGAGTGTAAAACTGTGCAGCCTTCTTTTTTGCTCTAGCTTCGTAACGCTGTTTGACCATTTTTGGAGTCTGAATTTTCACTGGCATGTTAGTACTATTCTGTCGTGAAAATATCCGGTCTCCATCAAACAATTCTCGCAAGTCCGGTGCGCTGTGAGAATGCGTCAAAGTCCTTCGACGTTCATCCTCACTCGAACTGAAAATTTCCATCATCATGGCAATATTCCTCGCAATCTTCTTCCTCTGAGGTCCCCTTGCGTCTATAGAACTCTCACTTGAGATCGAATCCTCGCGCATGAGTTCAAGCTTTCTTGACTTAATTTTGTCCTTCTTTGGTTCTATGATAGCAGTTTCTGTCTGTGTCTCAATAGTCTTGGTTTCGATACTCCTCTTTAACATTTCAGCTGGCATAGATTTCCTGTGTGTCATGTGGCGCTTTCCTCGTCTCGCTACCATTTTGATGTTCTCAACACTTTGTTCACTGGAGTCGTCCGACATCTCCTCTAGTGCTGCCTTAAACACCTCGTCCAAATTCACGTCTGACTCCATGATTTCAACACTGTGATCTTGGTTTTCTGTGTTTGTTTGTGCCGACACTGAGTGCACGGGGTTGTTATGCCACGCGGGCTGTGGAGGACTACTTCTAACAAGAGCTGATGACGGGGGTTTGGGCTTGGGTTTCGTACTACTCTTGCCATTTTTCTTCCCTTGTCCATTGATACCAACGAGAACCGAGAAAGGCCCCGAGGAAGTAGTGAACACCTCTGACTTTTGAATGTCTCTACATCTGTTCGGAATACCAACCTCTTTAGCAGCCAGTCCTTCAATTGCTCTATTAAAAGTTGCACTTTCTCCTCCAGAGCCTTTTCCCGAATCCCTATATTCCTGGAGGAAGGATTCAATCGTGGCCTCTATCTCCTGTGCATGTGTCTGTGGGTCCTTTGGGGTAGGGGTTGAAGGTTCAGTTAATTCATTGTCAGTTTCACGATCCACCTCAGCGAGTAAATGTTGAAAAGCCTGGGTTATGTCCTCAAACTCTCTTTGTGTTTCCCTTTCTACCTCCGCTATTGATTCCGCCGAGTAATTTGTTGTGAAATCCGAATCAGATTTGTTCCTCTTTTTAATCTGCGGCCGATACTCAACATGTGTACTGGACTGACGTGGCATTGTGTTACCCTTTGTCTCCGTGGTGACCGTAGTAGTAACACACCTAGGCTGTTCAATGGCATTTAAATTCTTGTAGATTTTGTCAAGTTCTGATAGCGCCTCCTGAAGTTTTGTTTTCCTTGAGTGATATTCACTTGTTAGTTGAACGGTTGGTTGGTGCACCACTGCAGGTTCAACAGTAGGAGCAAAGTTTCTCAAGGCACTTAGTATAGAGTCCAGTCTATTCCCATCGCTACACTCAATCCTGTTACGTATCTGACTCAATCTGTGCTCCACATCTCTCGCCAAATTCTTTAAATCCTCCACGGTCTGTAATACTTGCTTTTCCGCCTCGCCACTTGGTCGTGTTTGTGTTATGACAGTTGTAGGCGTTAAAGATACTCTACCGCTAGCACTTCCTTTCCCCTTAAATGAACCTCCACTGTCAGAGAGTTCCGCTAACCCAGTGTCAAGCAATTTCTCCTTCAAGATCATGGGGTCCAGCTGGTAGTTGCCATTGACGATATAGGGATCCGCTGAATACTCTGGAATGAAGTGCATTGCTTGTGTAGCCGGCTGTTGTTGTTGCTGCTGTTGTTGCAACATTACCGTGGCTGCTTGAGCCGTTTGTTTAGCGATACCAAACTGGTTTTGTAGCTCAGCCATCCGCTGCGACTGGTAGGTAGGTACACTATGAGCGATGCTCTGAACGCCAGCTGTCATTGGCTGTTGAGTTTGAATTACCGTTCGTGCTATACTGGTCATAGCTACTGGTTGATATCCGGGTATATTTGCTACAGGGATTTGCTGAACTGGTTGCAATACTGGTGATCGCAAGGGAGAGAAAAATGGCGACTCTTTCTCTACAGGAGCGGATCTTGTTGTGCCATACGTCGGGACTGGTTTACGTTTAAGTGATGTCCGTATGTCCTCCAGTACTTCGTCTAAAGCTGCGACACTGCTCTTTATGACAGGAGCAGCCCCAAGCTTTAGCGGCTGAATCTCCGGTGTACTGAATGACTTTGCTTGTGTGGCGGTTATGGGTAGACTGGTGGAGTTAGGCGCCTGGCTATAGACGGCTGTACTAGCCGTTTTTACCACTTGTGAATATGATGTGCATGACATCTCATCATCCGGGTTCTGTTTAATATAAGCTATAGATTCTACTGGTCGCAACACTTCAGCAACATCCATAACCTCCCCAGACTTCATGAGTTGGTCAAAGCTGGTCATTTCTTCGATCTGTTTCCAGAATGGGTCCTCTGAGAAAGGGATTGTCTGGAGGGTCCTAGCTTTGACACGCTCTATACTAACAAGACCCTTAGAGCTCTCAAGATGTGGTGACCAGACTTCTTTCTCTTTAACGTCATCGGACAATTTTGGAGTAATGTTCTGTAAATCACTTGGCCGTTTGGGCTCTTGACGATCAACTTTAGTGACAATGTTTTCTTCCAGCATTTTTTTATCAGCCACAACCTGTTCAACTTGACGTATAAATTGTTTCCTCTGAACCACTGGGGTACGCGAGGCCGAAAGGGCTTCCTCGTACGTGTCTGTGCCCTCGTTTCCACTTGCATCAGAATCAAACCGCTTTCGAAGATCCTTCACACTGTCCTGTTTTAACTCTTGAAGTTCTGTCAACTCCTCCTCATACTTCGACAGTCGTGCCTGTTTCTGTTCTTCAGAGAAGGACTTATTCCTACGAGGTGGCCACGCCAAGTTTGAATTCACATTTGTATCAGATTTATCTTTTTCAAGCTGTTCCTCAGATACGGCTCGTCGTGCCTTCTTAGTCTCATCCCTTTGAGAATTTGATTTTGGTGGAGCGTACGTCTTACTATTGAAAGCGTTAGGGTTCTGGGCATACGTGACAGAGTTGTCACTGGATCGAGTTATTGTTGTGCTTCCTGGATCCTTCACCAAACGAAAAATTCGATGAGAATTAGTTTCTGCAGACAAAACTTTTGGGTCATCAAAAGCTGGAGCAGGAGCATATTCTTGTTGCTGGTACTGGTATTGCTGTTGTTGCTGCAGCATTTGTTGTTGTTTTAGTTGTTCATACTGCTGCTGTTGAAGCTGTTGTTGTTTATGTTGTTCATACTGTTGCTGTTGAAGCTGTTGTTGTTTCTGTTGTTCATACTGTTGTTGTTGCAGCTGTTGTTGCTGTTGAATTTGTAATTGTTTCTGTTGTTCGTATTGTTGTTGTTGAAGCTGTTGTTGCTGTTGAATTTGTAGTTGTTTTTGTTGCTCGTACTGCATTTGTTTCTGTTGTTGCTGCTGTAATTGTTGTTGTTGTTGTTGAAATTGCTGTTGCAATTGCGTATGTCGTTGCTGCTGTTTCTGCTGCAGAAACTGAGGTTTAGGGTTAGGAGATGGAGCTATGTGAGACGTCGACTTAGTCACTGTGACAGTGACAGACGAAACAGCTCTACTTGGAGGAGGCTGAATCTTTTGGGGTAATGATGCAGACCTATCTTGAAGGTGATCTATTTCTTGCATCATCATGGCCTCTTGTAACCAAGCGTCTGGAATACCTCCCTCTGATTCTAAAATCGTCGTCAATGACAATGGTGCTTTGGAGTCATCTGTAGGCTTTTTCTTTTTCATGTATTTTTCCCATTTTTTAACCCTTTCTGAAACTTCTATGTCGTATTCCACATCTGAGAACATGCCTTGTTCTATAGCCGGCACTGAGAGACTTTTGAGTATATCGTGAGTCTTCTCACAATTGTCATACTGTGTCAGGGCCGATGAAGCATGGCCCACATTCCCTTGCTGTAGACCCAGATACTGTGGAGCATAACCTGATGGAAACTCAGCCGAATGTAACTGACTGTCTGACTTTGACAAATCTTCCATGTCTGTGAGATCGGTTGGTCTCCTCTGTAGATATGGACTGTGTGCCGCAGACTGGTGGCGGCGTTCAATCTTAGGTACAGTGTTCTGGAATACATGTGTATAGACGCTACGTGAAGGTGATGGCGAGGTTGATCCAGAAGGCGTATTTGACAAAGCATCATATTGACTGAGACTAGAACAACTCCCGCTGCCGTCACTGGCAACAGGAGGCTTTACAGATCGTATCACAGGTCGAGGGGAGCTGGTCGCGGACGGAATTTGAAGTCTTAATTTCACTTCATTTTGAAAAGATGAACTTAAAACTGTAGGACGCGACACATTTTCCAAAGATGAAGCTTTTTTGGTGAATTCCTCGGCACCCATTTTCTTTGTTGCTTCCTTGAACGTTTGTTGGTTTTGCACAGAAGACGACGGAGGCATCTGTAACCGTCCACTCTCAATCTCACTCTCCAAATACTGAATGTTTGATTCAATAAGTTCGTCCAGAGAATCGTCATCACTGTTGGACTTCCTTTTATTATCCACCCTGTCAATGGCTTTCTTCAAAACCATTGGTCGATTTGAATCAAGATCCCTAAAACTCATTTCATTGTCGCTTCCCACTTCATCTTTTTTACTCATCCATTCTGATTTTGGTGGAGTGTTTGAACTGAACTGATTGATTGTCGTGGAGTAGCGAGTAACTCCTCCTTGTGGGAGCTCTCTATATCGTTTACCACCTGTGTCACCTGATCCATAAGATTCACTTCGTTGCAGAGAAACTTTTGGAAATTCCTCCTTTTTCTGAATCATATTTCCGCCCATGAAATCACTATCTTGTTTGGGGATTTTCTTGTATCCCTGTCCCTGAACTACACGTCCTTGACCTTGAATTGGAATTTGCCCTTCACGACCAGGGTGGACGTATCCGTGGTAACTCTCTTTCAGATTGATATTATTGCTATTTCTTGACCCATCAAATCGAGTGTTGGCTCTATTGTTTTCTATTTCCATTTGACGGTAACTATCATAATTCAAATTCGTCTGCCCTGGTCCGATTGGTCTAAGCGTGATTTGCTCTGATGATGACGATCCATTTTCTGCTGGTTCCTGTAGTAGTCTCTGGGTATTTGTGACCGGGGTGGTGATTTTAGTCATCTACAATTACAAATAAATACGTTTGTAAGTTACAATAGTTTGGACTTTTATGAGAGAGCATATGCATTACATACGTAACTCATTGAAGGGAAAATAACCGATACTATCTAGTCATACTATTTTGGAAAACAGCAAAACATCTGTATGTCGAAGTTGTTGATACCATAGACAAGCTTAAATATGGTTTTTAGACATACGCAGTAAAGCCTCGAAGACCACTTGTCTATAGAGCCAAACTTGCTTTGGAGACCAACATTTGATATAATAAAACAACCTGCCTGTCCTCAAACATATACACACAGTATACGTTAATCTACCCTAGTAGCTACCCCAGAGACCATCTGTCTATAACAACAGTCAAACCTGCCTTAGAGACTCCCTGTCTATAACAACAGTCAAATCTGACTTAGAGACTCGCTGTCTATAACTACGGTCAAGTCTGCCTTAGAGACTCGCTGTCTATAACTACAGTCAAGTCTGCTTTAGAGATCCGCTGTCTATAACTACCGTCAAACCTGCCTTAGAGACCACCTGTCTATAACAACAGTCATACCTGCCCCAGAAACCAACTGTCTATAACTACAGTCAAACCTGCCTTAGAGACCACCTGTCTATAACTACAGTTAGACCTGCCTTAGATACCATCTGTCTATAACTACAGTCAACCCTGCCTTAGAGACTCCCTGTCTATAACTACAGTCAAACCTGCCTTAGAGACCCCCTGTCTATAACAACAGTCATACCTGCCCCAGAAACCAACTGTCTATAACTACAGTCAACCCTGCCTTAGAGACCACCTGTCTATAACAACAGTCAAACATGCCTTAGAGACTCACTGTCCATATCTACAGTCATACCTGCCTTGGAGACTCCCTGTCTATAACTAGTCAAGTCTGCCCTAGAGACTTACTGTCCATATCTACAGTCATACCTGCCTTAGAGACTCCCTGTCTATAACAACAGTCAAACCTGCCTTAGAGACTCCCTGTCTATAACTACAGTCATACCTGCCTTAGAGACTCGCTGTCCATATCTAGAGTCATACCTGCCTTAGAGACTCACTGTCTATATCTACAGTAATACCTGCCTTAGAGACTCACTGTCTATAACAACAGTCAACCCTGCCTTAGAGACTCGCTGTCTATAACTACAGTCAAACCTACCTGAGAGGCCGCCTGTCTATAACTACAGTCATACCTGCCTTAGAGAATCGCTGTCCATATCTAGAGTCATACCTGCCTTAGAGACTCCCTGTCTATATCTACAGTCATACCTGCCTTAGAGACTCACTGTCCATATCTACAGTCATACCTGCCTTGGAGACTCCCTGTCTATAACTAGTCAAGTCTGCCCTAGAGACTTACTGTCCATATCTCCAGTCATACCTGCCTTAGAGACTCCCTGTCTATAACAACAGTCAAACCTGCCTTAGAGACTCCCTGTCTATATCTACAGTAATACCTGCCTTAAAACTCACTGTCTATAACAACAGTCAACCCTGCCTTAGAGACTCCCTGTCTATAACAACAGTCAACCCTGCCTTAGAGACTCGCTGTCTATAACTACAGTCATACCTGCCTTAGAGACTCGCTGTCTATAACTACAGTCAAACCTACCTGAGAGGCCCCCTGTCTATAACTACAGTCATACATGCCTTAGAGACTCACTGTCTATAACTACAGTCAACCCTGCCTTAGAGACTCCCTGTCTATAACTACAGTAAAACCTGCCTTAGAGACTCCCTGTCTATAACTACAGTAAAACCTGCCTTAGAGACTCACTGTCTATACCTACAGTCAAACCTGCCTTAGAGACTCCCTAGAGACTCGCTGTCTATAACTACAGTCAAACCTACCTGAGAGGCCCCCTGTCTATAACTACAGTCATCCCTGCCTTAGAGACTCCCTGTCTATAACTACAGTAAAACCTGCCTTAGAGACTCACTGTCTATACCTACAGTCAAACCTGCCTTAGAGACTCACTATCTATAACTACAGTCAAACCTGCCTTAGAGACCACCTGTCTATAACAACAGTCAAACATGCCTTAGAGACTCACTGTCTATAACTACAGTAATACCTGCCTTAGAGACTCCCTGTCTATATCTACAGTCATACCTGCCTTAGAGACTCCCTGTCTATACCTACAGTCATACCTGCCTTAGAGACTCCCTGTCTATACCTACAGTCATACCTGCCTTAGAGACTCCCTGTCTATATCTACAGTCAAACCTGCCTTAGAGACTCACTATCTATAACTACAGTCAAACCTGCCTTAGAGACCCCCTGTCTATAACAACAGTCAAACATGCCTTAGAGACTCACTGTCTATAACTACAGTAATACCTGCCTTAGAGACTCCCTGTCTATAACTCCGGTAATACCTGCCTTAAAACTCACTGTCTAAAACAACAGTCAACCCTGCCTTAGAGACTCCCTGTCGATAACTACAGTCATACCTGCCTTAGAGACTCGCTGTCCATATCTAGAGTCATACCTGCCTTAGAGACTCACTGTCTAGAACTACAGTCAAACCTGCCTTAGAGACTCATTGTCTATAACTACAGTCATACCTGCCTTAGAGACTCCCCGTCTATAACAACAGTCAAACCTGCCTTAGAGACTCCCTGGCTATAACTACAGTCATACCTGCCTTAGAGACTCGCTGTCCATATCTAGAGTCATACCTGCCTTAGAGACTCACTGTCTAGAACTACAGTCAAACCTGCCTTAGAGACTCCCTAGAGACTCGCTGTCTATAACTACAGTCAAACCTGCCTTAGAGACCCCCTGTCTATAACAACAGTCAAACATGCCTTAGAGACTCACTGTCTATAACTACAGTCATACCTGCCTTAGAGACTCGCTGTCCATATCTAGAGTCATACCTGCCTTAGAGACTCACTGTCTATATCTACAGTCATCCCTGCCTTAGAGACTCCCTGTCTATATCTACAGTCATACCTGCCTTAGAGACTCCCTGTCTATAACTCCGGTAATACCTGCCTTAAAACTCACTGTCTATAACAAAAGTCAACCCTGCCTTAGAGACTCCCTGTCGATAACTACAGTCATACCTGCCTTAGAGACTCCCTGTCTATACCTACAGTCATACCTGCCTTAGAGACTCCCTGTCTATAACTACAGTAAACCCTGCCTTAGAGACTCACTGTCTATAACTACAGTAATACCTGCCTTAGAGACTCCCTGTCTATAACTAGTCAAGTCTGCCTTAGAGACTCACTGTCCATATCTACAGTCAACCTGCCTCAAACACCACCTGTCTATAGCTACAGTCAACCTGCCTCAAATACCACCTGTCTATAGCTAGTCAACCTGCCTCAAATACCACCTGTATATAGTTAGTCAACCTGCCTTATAGACCACCTGTCTATAATTGTCCATAGCTACACTCAAACCTGCTCTAGAGATCAACTGTCTATAGCTACAGGTAAACCTGCTCTAGAGATTAACTGTCTATAGCTACAGGTAAACCTGATCTAGAGATTAACTGTCTATAGCTACAGGTAAACCTGATCTTATACCTCCTACCTATAGCTCACACTGATATTACCTGTCTGTAGCAGTATACATTCAAACCAGTCTTTGATGCCATCAGTTTGAAGCTTTTAAAGCCTACTTGAAAGACCATCTGTCCATAGCTACAATACACCCATCTCAAAGAAAACCTAGTTAGTTATACCCATATCAAAGAAAACCTAGTTAGTTACACCCATCTTAAAGAAAACCTAGTTAGTTAAACCCATCTCAAAGAAAACCTAGCTAGTTATACACATCTCAAAGAAAACCTAGTTAGTAATACCCATCTCAAAGAAAACCTAGTTAGTTATACCCATCTCAAAGAAAACCTAGTTAGTTATACACATCTCAAAGAAAACATAGTTAGTTATACCCATCTCAAAGAAAACCTAGTTAGTTAAACCCATCTCAAAGAAAACCTAGTTAGTTATACCCATCTCAAAGAAAACCTAGTTAGTTAAACCCATCTCAAAGAAAACCTAGTTAGTTATACACATCTCAAAGAAAACCTAGTTAGTTATACACATCTCAAAGAAAACCTAGTTAGTTAAACCCATCTCAAAGAAAACCTTGTTAATTATACCCATCTCAAAGAAAACCTAGTTAGTTAAACCCATCTCAAAGAAAACCTAGTTAGTTATACACATCTCAACGAAAAACCTAGTTAGTTAAACCCATCTCAAAGAAAACCTAGTTAGTTATCTAGTATCTAGATGAACCTGTTTAAAATATGACGTATCTATAGCTATAAACAAAACTGCCATCGACCTGTCAATAACAAGTTAAACCAGCCTGCTTTACCGGTAGTCTGTAGATACATTCTAACCACCTGTCTAAACAGACCACATGTCTATTGGTTTTTGGATTTTCCCTGCGTAATCGTCGATAGCAGATTTGACTAAATAGTAATGGATCAATTTGCAAGAAAATCAATCACAAATACAAATACCTTTTTGTATTTTGCCAAGGCTAAAACATAAATTGTGTGATTCTGGTTTCCCAACTGACGCTAATTTGTTATAGTAGTTCCTAAGTTTTGAGCCAATTTCAGACAGGCACTTTTAAAGTCAAGGTCCTGTTCGGTGTAACCCTACAAACCCTAAGCTTTTAACCCTTTCACCACCGTAGACTATAATGGACTCATCCAGATCAATACATGGTAGAGTCTACTAAAGTTACATAGGGTTGAAAGGGTTAAGAGGCAAAACCAGAAGCAAACTATTATCTAGAGCTTAGGGATACTAGTGATGTATATCTGTTTCTGTTAATTTTGCTACTTTATATACTTGCAAATATGTTTATTGTTTAACTATTTCCAAAAGATCTAAAATTTGTCATCAATATTTGAAAAATGTATATCTTGAGCACTGCAGGTAATTGACAGTTTACTGAAGTGGTGTCAAACATACATCAGACACATAATGTATTCTATAATTAGTTATGCTCAACACCTGAAGTTGCTGTTTTGAAACTACAGGACACTTTTATATTATTTAAATATTTCGAACTTGTCTTGAATTTTAGAAAATAAAAACATGATATCACTCCTATAAGGCACTCAAATGATATCAGTCTTTTGTTTTACAAGATGACATGTTAAGATTAATGCTTCAATTGAAGTTTTGTATCGAAGATATTCCATACATTTCTAAACTGTAAGACTAAAACTCCAATGTAACATGTACCACTCATCAAAATGACCATACAGATAACATATACAGGGAATAGTTACATAGACAATGGAAAGTTGACAAACAGATTTATAAATAAAATGGATAACGGACAATTTCAGAGATTCTATGAATACACAGGCAATGATAAAAGACAAACATATAGACCATGAACACTGTAGACTTGTATATTCTAACAGCAGTCTTATACATGTATTAGCACCTTGTGTGCTTTAGATATTGAGTGAAATGCTGATAGCACCAATTAAACTTTCTGTATAGTTTTCTTTTGCATATTCTGTGGGTATGCCAAATTAATAATGTGCTAGTCTGTCAAAGTTTGATAATGGACTTAAATTTGAGTGTGCTAAAATGAGTATGTTTACAATAATAGACAGACAGACAACTTTTCAAAACAACGACTTATGGACAGAAAAAAAACAGATGTAGAAAGATAATGGATGATATATGAACCGACAGAAGCAAAAAGACAATGAATAATGAACAGACGGACATATAAAGTCAACGGATAATTCACAACTTCAGTGATACATTTAATTTGTACATTGTAAATATAATGACAATGGACAATGGACTAACAGACAGACAAAAAGACAAAGAATAATGGACAAACAGACAGATGTATAAATACAATGGAAACCAATGACTTGTACTAAAATTTTATACTTTAAAACCTTTAAAACACTTTCACAGAAAATGCAGCAAAGTAGCAGACATTTGTAGTTTCTCTGTCAGACTGTGGTCTATTACTGTTTCAAGTCAGTGTACTCACCGCTTGTATTGCAGAAATGTGTTGGGTATCAAGATCCTCGAGACGGTCCGGGAACTTGGTTGCAAGTTTTGATCCTTGTAATGCCCTTTGTCTGAGACGAGATATTCTCAACTCTGGAGAATTCAGCTCCTCATCAGAAGTTACTAAGATATCGACACGTTTCTTACGCATCTCCTCCAGCTTTTGATACTTGGCTTTCTGACCACCATTGTTACCCGACTTGTCCTGGTATTGGACTGCTTCCCTATTAGAAACCTGCGGAGACCGACTCGTAATCCGTGTAAGCTCACTTTGATTAGTCCGGTTTTCTTTCCCACCTAGTTCCACAGTTGTGTTCAATGATTTTCGTTTATCATTTTTCCGCACTTTTTTCACCATTAAAGGATTTTTAACCCACGTTTTTCTTTCCTGATCAGAATCTGTAGCACTTGATGAACTTCCATGAACATCTGGAAATCCATCATCAGAAAGAGGCTCTGTGTACATTGAATGTCTCGTCATTTGTTTTGTACGGAACTGTCCAGATTTACTGCTTCGTTCCCTCACTTCATGCATTTTCTTTTCGTCCATGGAGTTCCTGGGTTTGAGACGCCCAGCTGGTCCCTCACTGCGTGACCTTCGTTTAATAGCTGCTGACCTTGACTCCTGAACTGAGGTCGATTCCTGTCGCCCAGGAGGAGCTGCGACTGTCCCCTGGTCCCTCCGACCGGCACGCTGAATGCGTCGGTCAGACATGTCAGGGTCATTGAGATCCTGAGTTGTAGATTTTAGAGTTAGCTGTGTGGGTGGGGGTGGCCTGGGAGGGGCAGGGCCAGACCCCGGAGTCAAGGAGCTTTGGGCCTGGGTTGGGGGCGTCTGGTTGCACTGCTGTAGGAATGGTGTTTCAGTGACCACTGGCCGTAGTTGGACAGGCAGGTTGGGATGACCAGTGACACCACTTGTGGCACCGGGTTTGGTACTGCCGTGCTGTTTGTGGTGCCCGAGGCTTCTCAGCTTCTCATCCGCACTCTGGAAAATATAACAAAGAGCACATTTTAATAATGGTGGGGAAAATTAGCGAAGAAAGGAAAAGTACATATCACCATACTGTTGATGGGTAGCAGGTTAGCATGACGTTAATTAACATGTATTGGCATCTCATTAATCCTTATTCAAATAATCTGAAAAGCAATGACGTTTTCCAGATCAATGCTTTTACACATCTGGTTACCTCCATCTCTGGCAAATCAAATACCACACTTAACTCAACCTCAGACAAGTCAAATACTGCAGCACTCCTAATTAAAATATGAGAATCAACTACCATTCTAACTTCAACACATAACTTGGTGTGGATTTGTATATCCTAATGTTTTCGTACTTTGAGACTTTTAATACACTCTTACAAAGTGCTGAATTTAACCTCTACATTTTTTTAAACTACATAACTAATAGTATAGATCTGCCATGCATCTTGTTCTGTGGAGAAAAGTTTTAAAAATCCCATTTTAAACCAGTCATCCTTGTATCACAGGTGCTAGATTCGACAGGCCGTTCGTTCACCCTTAAACGTGATAGTTTTCATACTTAACTCATTCACCCCTGAAGACATTTGAACTCTTCCAATTCAAAGGTTGGAACAGTCCATCATGAAATTTCAGGGGTGGATGAGTTAAGCAAGGTTACCATCGGTAGTAATTACTGCTGCAATGTGTACACTGCTACTTTGCCTGTATAATCTTAATCTTGTGTACTTTGTACATCAAATCAGTAATACAACACAACAACAGCTTCTTCAGAATGTGCAGCATACATTGTATGGTTTAGATAAGTTCTGTTAAATGTCTATTTCTGAGTGTTTTTACACTACATTTGACTGGGTACAATACCAAAGTGCTAATCAAGACTTTGGCAGTATATTTCAAAACAACAATTTTAATATTTTAGAAAACCATTCATATTCATTTATGCAAAGCATCATATACTATTTTTAACCAGTCTTGTAATTCTTAGAAACTACAGAAAGTTATATACACAATATCTTTTGTCAAGAACTTAAGTTTTAATGATAACTCATGGAATTGTAATTCTTACTCCGAGCCAGAAACTATTTCAGATCTCGTTCCTCAACCTCGGTCTTTACAAGATGTTAGAGATCATTCTTAATTAACTGTCATCCTTTATAAGGCATAAATTAACCTCAGCCTGAAAAGGAAGATTATACAGGAAAACACAGGTACAGTTATATACAGCTGGGATACACAGAATAAAAAGTTTTAACCCCAACCTCAGCAACAGGGGTTCCCATGGCAATGATTCACAGAGAGAAGTACTAGTGTGTTTCATGAAACAGGATTCATTACATGAAGAAAATCACTGGTTAAAACTGTACCCCGAGATGGCTCCCCTCAGGTAGGGAATGAGGGGGTAACCACCTCCTCTGTGATAACTGTACCCCCCTCCCCGTATCACCACCAGCACTAACATGGGGAGACAATGATTCATACCTACATGCACTGGTACACCAGGCCAGCCCTGTAAACTTTATCTCCTGCATTCAAAACAATCCCATTCATCTACACTGCACAGACAACACATGGATCGTGATTTCACCTCCAATCCAGCTCATGATTTCCGCCAATTTTTTCCTGTCGTGATTATGCCAGACTTACATTGTACATGTTGCCTGCTGTTTACAACATAAACATGATGCAGGCTGTTTCATTTCCTTCCAGTTGGAAAATGTTTCTAGGGGATGATTATCTGGGATGGTGGGTATATATATGGCATGTTAGCTCCATTGGCTGTACATGAGTCAAAATCAGGGGGTATTCTAGTTACCGTAAACTCCCTAATGTAGGGTCTGTTATATTATTACCAGCTCCACTGGCTTTACATGAGTCAAAATCAGGTGGCAGGGTTTATATTCTAGTTACCGTAAACTCCCTAATGTAGGCTCTGTCATATTATTACCAGCTCCACTGGCTGTACCTGAGTCAAAGTCAGGGGGTATTTTAGTTGCCGTAAACTCCCTAATGTAGGGTCTGTTATATTATCACCAGCTCCATTGACTGTACCCGAGTCAAAATCAGGGGGCAGGGGTTATATTCTAGTTACCGTAAACTCCCAATGTAGGCTCTGTCATATTATCACCAGCTCCACTGGATGTACCTGAGTCAAACTCAGGGGGTATTCTAGTTACCGTAAACTCCCTAATGTAGGGTCTGTTATATTATCACCAGCTCCATTGGCTGTGCATGAGTCAAAATCAGGAAGTATTCTAGTTACCGTAAACTCCCTAATGTAGGCTCTGTCATATTATCACCAGCTCCACTGGATGTACCTGAGTCAAAATCAGGGGGTATTCTAGTTACCGTAAACTCCCAATGTAGGCTCTGTCATATTATCACCAGCTCCACTGGATGTACCTGAGTCAAACTCAGGGGGTATTCTAGTTACGGTAAACTCCCTAATGTAGGGTCTGTTGTATTATCACCAGCTCTATTGAATGTACATGATATGAGGTATAATTTTGAGTTTAAAAGGTACAGCTAAAATAAAATGTTACTAAAAAATTTGCACTTACTTGACCTTTGATTTGGAGGTGAAGGTCATGGTAGCCCAATTATAGTGCTGAGTACAAGATGTAAGTTGGATAAACTAGATCAGAACCAGTGTTTATATATCTCACTTCACTTGAATGGGAGACATATAAAACCAAATCAGCTGATTGATTATGGTAAATACAATATCAGAGGGATTTCTAATGTTTTATTGCTGTAAATATTGTTGTTTACAGTACACTCCAGTGTTTAAGATAACGTTCTGATTACTATAAATACACTCAGGAAAGTAATTTACTACTGTAAACAAGCTAAATAGGACTGTTTTACCAAATATACCCTAAATCACATGCTCTACAATAGTTTATAGTTATCATGAATGCTCCTAATGGATTTGGCGGTTGGGGAGGGGGTGGGGGAAG